GTGTGTGTGTGTGTGTGTGTGTGTGTGTGTGTGTGTGTGTGTGTGTGTCCTGTCCTGTCCAGACGGGCATGTGTGCGTGCTCTGATGTGCTTCTGTGTAAGCTGCCCGCTGTGCTGCGCTGTGTGACGGCGCTGCTGGCCACCAGGGGGGGGGAGCCGGGAGAGGACCGATCCCCCCGCCACTCCTCACCTTCGTGGTCGTCCTCCTCGCTGCTGTCCACAGACTTCCTGCTCTTCTACTGTGCAGCCATGGCCCTGCTCTACGTCCTCTACTGCTACCTGCTACTCTAGAGGAGCAGCGCAGTCCTTTAACAGTCACATGACCGACGAACTGCTCTACACGCTCACTGAACTCTCACACACACACAGCTGCTCCCACAGAGTGTGTGTTGACACTCCACAGCTGCACTGGTTGGATGTCTGAGCCATATAGAGCATGCAGCCGAGCACCTTTTAACAAACAAAGAATACACTACAGCACGTTTAGAGCAATAGAAAGCACTACACTGATACTGATAAATACTACATGAGAGCAGATGAACAGGGACTTACCCTTAGCCTTCACCTGTAACGCACGTTTGGAGGAGATGGGAGCTTTACTGTCTGAGGCAGAGCTGCTCTCATTGGTTGAGACATGACTGGGCGGAGCAAAGGACCCCAATCCAAATGACATACTATACGTCGCGCTCGTTTCTCATTTATTAATGTGCACTCGTGGACAAACGGCAGCAACGTAAGCTGCAGAGTTCTTGTATTGGTGTGCAGACTTTGTGTCTACATGGAGCCACTAGAGAGCAGATTAGATCCCAATCTTTGCTGGCAAACACCTGAATATCTTCCTTGAGAATGTCTAGTTGTAAAGATGACTAAACATGGTGACACTTGATGGGGTTCATGTATTGTTAACATTGAGACTAACCGCAGAACAAGCTACGTCTGTTGTTGTTTGTGTAGAGTCAGCTGCTGGCCTTAACATCAGATACTGTGCACTGCTCATGGAAACATCCCCATAAAGGAGGTCTAACGGGGCAGTCAGGTGATCAGAGGTTAGTCAAGACTGTATGGAAGAGAAAAGGCGACAAACACCAGAAAGATCACCCGAACTGTCCGTAAACATCCTTCACAGTTTACAGACCACCTTCCCTGACATTAGTACACAAGTTATGCTTTTTAGTTTATGGAATTGGTAAAAATGATCAATTCCAGGAGGTCAGCAGACTAGTTAAGCAGCTTACCTGAGTTCTTAGTAGATATCTGAGAAAAGGTGGTTGAGTGGATTGATTCTTTGTCAGCCAGAGAGACTGCGACAGCAGCTCTACCTCTGAGACGTGTTAAACTCCACGCTGTGTGTTTGGAGGCAGACCACTGAAGGAGAGCGAAGCCCAGACTGAACTGTGAATGTCATTTTTAGCCTTGAGACAATGTAAGTTAGCTATCAGTGAGACAGATGACACAGTGCCTCTTACTGACCGCTGACTTAGACCTCTTGCAGAGACTGCTCCTATTTTTATATGTCTGCTATGCTAACTGTGAGAAGTGGGGGGGGGGGGTGATGTCACTGCATCAATCTCCCTCCACACCTCATGTGTCCAAACGGTACAGCGCCACCCAGGATGTGTGTGTAAAGTCTTTCTTGTCGTCGTCGCTGGTCCGTTTGACCAGCTGACTTCATGTTTGTATAAATGTTACAGGCTATTAAATTATTGCTTTTTTAATTTATTTGATCTGTTCTGTTTTTGGTTATCGTTTCAGAGGTGAAGCAGCAGAGGCGTCACTAATTTGGTTAGCTTTGTGAAATCGGTGTATGTGCTTTAAATCACACACACGGGCAAATCAGATCAATATCCAATCATTCAGAGTTAAAATAACACTGATTGTTTAAAAGGTTTCCCTTCATTCCATTGGTAAGTCATTGACTCCCTGGAGGCTCCACACTGAGCAGAGCATCAGAGCCTCTGCTGCTTCTACCACACGCTGCATCAGAAGGTCGATGTCTGCTACTAAACACACGTTGGAATCTGATTAGGATGCTTATTGGACTAATATGGGCTTTAAAAGCTTTCAGCAATAGAGAGCAAAGCCCTTAACATTCAGATCTTTTACTGTTTTTACTCTTCTCAAGGCCTCAATTAAAACCAGAATGGGACACGAGGACTTTCTACTAAACTCTAATCTAGTAAAAGTGGGGGACCAGCATGATTTATTCATATCAGCTACAAGATGTTACGGACAATTAAATCAAGAAATAACCTACAATTGCATTTTTATTGGCTTTTCCCTTGTAGCTGTGGAGAAATACATCAACAGTACAGATATTTCCCTCATATCAGTAAACTATATGTTGGGGCTCCATATTTGAAGAGAAACGGAGTTAGACCAAGTGTTCAATATTGAATAAATAATTACGAAATCACATGAATAAACTGTGTAGAATATATTAGTCATACGAGAACTTTTATTTCATGATACTTTTATACTGTCACTTCTCATAGCAGTCTCATGCATCAACAGATGCTGTCAGCTTTAGCCCGTTAGCTCCTGTTAGCTAGAGCGACAACGTGTTGCTGATGAACAGACCCAGTAGCCCTCCTGTTGAGCTTACCACAGCTAACTTGTGACTCGGGCTGTGAGCTACGAGTTAGCTAGCTCCTGTTGGGTTTGAGCGAGCACAGAGAAACATCGAGTATGTTTCACTCTGAATTAGCCCGTTAGCTCCTGCTATTGACAGAACTGTTCACTCTGATGCCAGCTGTCTCAGTAGAGGGCTACTTAAGTAGCATGTGCAGCCTTGTTAAGCTTAAACAGGGCTAGTTATTGTACTGTAACTGTACTGTGTTTATTTAAAGACACTAAATCTACTCTAGTTTATGAATGAATCGTTGCTCTAGCTAACAGAGACTAACAGGCATCATCGTTGAGCTTGAAAACATGCCACATGATAAACAGACTTTTGAAATAAATGTTTACGTTGTAATAAAAACTCAAGCAAAATGGACATAAGAAAATGATGAAATAACATTTCATCATTGAATAGTAGTTTTAAAACAAACATGTTGGGGCCCCACACTTCTAAAAGCCATTGTGTTGAACATGCAGACTAGTTTTCTAACTTGGTTTAAGGTGTACAGCACACTGTGCCCTTAATGTCCATCTCTGCTGTAGTCTGGAGGGCTGTAAAGTTTCCTGTCCCGTGTCTCAAGTTTTTTTTTTATTAGCCTGCTGTTAAAATGAAATGTTACACCATTCAATTCAAAATGTATATTTTATAAATGAAACTGGATAAACAGTAATTCATTCACTGGCTAGACAAAGCTATATTCTGTAGTATGTTAGCGGAACAGAAATAGTTGTATTTTATATTTATATGACACCCTTGTATTATTGAGAATCATTTCTTTGAGTTTATATAAATCTATATGTAAAGTTTTTGTTCATCCCGCTGTAAAGACTTTATTAAAAACCAACTTTGACCCTGTGCTGTTTGTCTGCTCGCCTGCTGTTGTGCTTTTGCTTAATCAGTCAATAACTTCAATGTGATCCGGTATCTGCAGCTGCTCACCTTCTTATGACCACAAAAAGAAAAAAATCAACTCAAGGTCCACTTACTTGCTTTCTATGGAGCTTTCAACTGCATCTCATGGTTTTCAAAGGATGTTGAGTTTGAGTTATAGGTAAAGTATGAAGGGATCTCATTTATTGATTGAACTATTTTCAACATGTCAAGACCAGTTAGATTTTAAACTAAAGTAGATTAAAGGATAAGTCTGGTGATATTCTATATTTTTCTTGTCAACAAATCCCATGTGCAGAACCAAACCAAGAATAAATGCATCTACTAATGTGATCTCTATGCCATGTAGCTCCATTGTTATCCTGCTGCCACAAATTCTCCCTTTATTACATCGGTAATAACACATTTAAGTCAGACCGGTGCAAAGGAATCGATTTGAAATGGATCCCATTTTCCCACATTGCAAAGCACAACAAACGGAGAGAACTCATTTACAGATGTGGGGTGAAGAGAGGACTCTGTTAAAACACCAAGAAGTTCTGTCATTTTACACAGTAATCTTCTACAGCATACTGCACACGTCACTGTATACAGTATCTGTGTATAGTTTCCGCTCACCAGACACAAGGGGGCAGCAATGAGCTTAGAAAAGTCACACAAAGATGAAACAAAGACGTGTTTGGGTTTTACAAGAGAAAAGAGGGCAAGGCCAATGTGGACGGCTCCTTCAGTCCCACATGGGTCTCTGCTGAGGTGTTCAGAGCCACCGGCAGGGTGGACACGTGACCGTAAGTGGCAGACTAACACATGGTTGGTTTGGGTCTTTTCATGGGATTTGTTGTCAATAAGTCCAGTAGAGAATAACACCAGACTTATTCTTTAAATACACAACAGTCAGCAGTAATTAGTGGAGTTGGAGAGGAAGAAACCCAGATCAGCACAGAACTGAGTATGTGATAGGACTATCAGCTCACTCTGATTTTACTTTAGCTTTGAATCAATTTCATATTGAAACTGATGAAAGGTGGTCAGGTGTCCTTATTGACATGTCGTGTGTACAGTCAAGTCAAGACGGAGTCAGCAGCATTGAATATCTCGCTGTAATCGTACCGGGTAATGTTGTGGGTGAGCGAGTTCATCTGTCGGTAAAATGTCGCTTGAGAAGCGTCGCAGCAGGTATCAGCCGTGCGGGAGTGACAACAAACACGTCCAGATTGATCTTGAGGAAACATCTCAGGATAAACGAACAATAGCGTACACTTTAAAGGGTTAGCTGGCCATGGTGGAGCTACTTTAACCACGACTGTCATAAGAGTTCCCTCAACAAAGAAATGCTCAGCAAGGTAAAACAATGTACCTACATTTGATCCTCAAGATGAATTCATATCAAAGAGTATCATGAAAGAGAACGATCAGAAGTGTTTAGTGTGACACCCTGTGAGTGCAACTAAAGCGATACATAACTAAGACAGCTGGGATACACCTCATTACATCCATTACTAAGGTTTTTATGAGTCCCTGATACGTTCTTGCTCAGACTGATTTACTAAATGAGGAAGCAGCTTTAACATGTAAGAAATGAGAGCTTGTGAAGACCAACTGTAAATGTTACAGTGCAACAGTGGTCCATCTTTACGTTTAGATGGTACATTGTTGAGTTCTGTACACATTGAGCAATGCAGGAGTAGTTTGTGTCGTGAAACCCATTTGACTGAGTGATGTGTAGATCTCCATGTTATAAATCAGTTACTACATAAGACTCGAGGACCCACGACCATTTATCATTGAAACACCAAAATAAATGAGATGATGCATCAGATATAAACATGATGGGATTAGTTTCAGTGGTGACTCAGCGTTAAACGTCCTCCTGTGTGTAGACCATAGAGTAGGAGTAGCATGGACATTGTTGCACGGTTTGCTGTGGACTAGTTCCAAAAATGGCGATTGTTGTCATGGTGACAACTATGCGTCATAAGAAACAAGTTAGCAGAATCACTTTAGCTGGCTAACATCAAGTTAGCCTGGATTAGTTGAGTTAGGTTTGAAGAACAGACCCAGGTAACTATGGGACTCGAGCCCATCTGACCCACACCAATGCAAACACCTCCAGGGTTTGAATCCTTGTTTTCCATCAAACATCACATCTCTTCTGTTGTACGATGTCAGTGTGGTGGTTCTTATTCCGATGCGCCTGCTTGTTTGTTCCACGGGAAAGTAAGTAAGTCAGATTGAATAGATTTTCATTTCAGCCCTGGAGGCAATAAACACTCCATAGTGTGGATGTTTCCTGATAGCCACTGTAAGGACATGCTGTGTACAGAATGCCACTGAGCATGTCTTATGAATGAGTTAACCCTTCCCCACCTGGTTGGCCTTTATGTTCAGCAGAGAAGACAACACTATTACAGCATTGTTCTGTATTACAGTTAACAGGGTTGGATCTGTCGATCATGGAGGCTAACTTTAGAAACAGTAGATCTTGTTGTGCCGAGTCTGTGGCTCTTTTGAACATAATAATCCAGTGATGTTTATCACAAGCAAAAGTTAGTCTCGCCTTAAATACAAAGCTGGAGTCAGGGCGTATTTAGCCTAGCTTAGCATAAAGGGGGAAAGGGCTAGCCTGGCTCTGTCCTGAGTTCAAAAATACATCGACCAATTTAGGCTGAAAAACCAACAGACAATGAGGACAACTCTGAGGCACCAAATGCCAAATCAATAAGTCGGATTAATTGCAAATCTGTTGAGGAATCTTCACCACAGTACCGGCGGTTTCTGCATTATTTCTCTTGCGTGCTTTTTCTCTTTCAAAACCTTTTAGAACAATCTCTTTCAATTTGGTTTATGGTGCATATTCCTAATATAAGTTGCATTTCTTTGGTTTACCACAAACCAACAGACATGCTGAAAACAATAGAGTACTAGTGGTTGGTTTCTATGTCTTTGGGCGTAAAATGAAGCTGCCATGTTTAGTCTGGAGTGTTAACAACCTCGAGGCAGCAGGCAGCAGCTTCATCATGTCTGCTTCCACATCAGCACATCCAGGATATACAGAGAATGAAAACATGAAACACATGTTCCAATCCTACCTGTGATCAGCTCACTCCTTTCCTCGTCCCTTCCCAGGATTCCTTGTGTTCCCCCCAACTCATCATGGAGGACGAGGGGCTGAGTCGTCTGGCCCAAACCGTCCAAGTGTTGGTGGACCTGGCCAACGGCTCCCAGCGGGTCCCCAAACCGGAAACGTCTGGGTCTGCTGGCTCAACACAATGCTAGCACAGCGCAGCTGCATCTGCAAAGATGTATCACACCAAAGAGATCCATCTCAGGGCCAGTCTTTGTTTTTAACATATTTAACATGTTCATTAAATGGACTGTACAGTCAGACCTTCTGTGTCCAAAGATCAAATACATGGTAACAATAAAAGACTGTAAATGACTTCAAAGCCTTGCGGTGTCTTTCTTCATGTCTCGTAGTAGAGATTTAATTACACACCTTAGAGGAATAGCTTCCTCAGAGATCAATGAGAAGATCAAGTTAGCCAAAGTAACGAGATGTAGGTCACTGATCGGTTCCACACAAAACTAAATGATACTAAGACAAAACTATGATCAATTTGCAACTTTGCCGACGTGCAAAATCATCTTTCAAATTGTGTAATTCATGGCTGAGTACAACACACCTGAATCTCAAACGGTCTGCAGTTGAATTGCATTGTGGGTGATGTAGGTGCCAGGTTTTGACAAGGAGAATGCACAGAATCAAAAAGACAATATCTGCTTCTGCTGCATCATAACTAATGTAGCAGTTAAGTGATTTACCCCAAAGCGACTCCTTTAATTCTTGGTCAAGTAGAATTACAAAGCTAGTGTGTACCAAAGAACAGCACATGAATGAGAGGGACAGCTCAGTGGACTACAACATTACAATTGTCTCCATCCTACAGCAGGTTGAACACTGTAGCAGCAGTTATCAGCAGACAAACGAGAGACAGCCGACCGCTCTGGACATGGTGATTGTGAAATACAGGTTTATTTGTGTAAAACCTGTGAGCCAGTCAACCTGTGTCTTGCTCAGTGCTGCCAAAGCGGAGCATGACGTCCTCAGTATACAAGCTGGGGAATGGAACATCCCGTTCTAAAGCAGTCACCACTGCAGCAGTGTCCTCTTTGGGCACCCATCACAACACTGATGGTCCAATTCATAGGAAGCGTGAAACTGCTCGAGTTGAAAAAAAGAAGAGAAACATTGAATGCACCACAGGAAGCATGCTGTGAACCAGAACACTGATGATGGAACCGCTGCAGCTCTCTGCTGAGTCTTTCCCTTTTAACATCGTGTCGAACGGTGAGTTCAATTTAATAGAAACACATTTTCTCACTAACCTCTTTTGGCATCAACAAACAATGGAGGCCAACAGGACTCTGTGGTGCTTGAGGCATCAAACACGTCACAATGGGCTTCAACAAAGAACATTATCCCAAAGCTGTCGGTCGGTGGTGCTCAGCAAACGCTCCTGACTTCAGATAACTGTGTAGATGACCAGCGTGAACATGAGTCGCCTGTGTGTTGATGAGCATGCGTGCATGAGAATTGAACACGGCACAAAAGAATAAAAAGGACTTTAGAAGTTTGGAGATTTTAGTCCTGCTTCAATGAAAATCTCTACTTTAGAACAGCATCAGCATCAGAATGTAGGAACCGGTTGAAATCACGGAATGGGAGAAAATAACAAGAGCTGTCAATGCCGTGTCACCTGAGGGTCGTACTGGTTCCATATGAGGAAGGCTTAAAGAATGCGTGCTGCAATAACAGGTGAAGTAGCTCTGTCCGGCATTGCAACAGAACATGTTCCCCTGGACAGGGACCCTTATAGACCTGCATGTGAAGAACCGTCCATCTGTCTCATCAGGACGCTGTCTGAAGACACCATGTCTTCCAAGAGCCTGAGGCTCTAAAGAAGG